AGACAAAGTCTAATGGCCAGTTTACATCCCAGTCTGCTCAGGAGATATCCCAAAGAATTGTAAGTGGAAACTTTTAACTAATTACCATAGTTCATAAAAAATTATGTAACAAGCTTTTTAATGTGTCTAACTTCATTATGATATCCAGGATGACTTGGTTGACCAACAGAGTCAAGGCACATTTGTGGCATAAGGTAGGCAGGAACTCTTAGTAGCACCTCGTGTGAGCACCAAAGGATCATGCTCTACTGCAGATCGTACTGATTACAATATTCAGTATGAGTTTTTGGTTGATGAGGATCCTCTGCGCGTAGTGGCCGTGGGACGACAGATTGTAGGAGGACAGACCATTCATGGTGCTCCTTTATTGCCCACTCACGCGCGGGTAATGATTGATGATCAAAGAGACCCCTAGGCTCGAGTGACAGTGCCTACATCTGAAATCCAATTCGTGGGGAGGCCTTAGGCACATTTATAGGTTGGCCTAAGGCTATGATGATGCCATATTTTGGCCCACCAGTGGTATTATATTCTTCTTTTTATTATCTTAAATCTTCAAGTTATAATCAAATGATTCCTAACTTTTGTAAATGTGAGTTGCAAGTCTACCGTCCTGAGAAACAACCAATTTCTCAACCTGTGACTGAGGCTCGTGAGGAAGTTGAAGACCATGTTCCTATATCCATATTGATCTCGAGATTAAATAAGTTGACAAAAGGACCGGTAGAGTTGCGGTGGGAGTTAAGAACATTTGGCCTAGAGTGCTATGTACCATTGTATATTAATTTTGATGATGCATATGAGATCATTAGTGGAGAAAAAATGTTGAACATTTCATGCATACAACTGTGGTTCATGTAAGTTTTTATTTGTTATTTTCCAATTTGTATATTAGTATTATTACTTTTTAATAAATATACTTAACTTTATTCTTACACGTACATGGACACCATCGTAGTAGAATCAGGTCGGGTGTCAGTTTATGGCTTTCTTGAACCTCAATCCATTCAATCATCTGGAAACACATTAGATTCCAGAAAATCATATATTCAAACATGGATGACTAAGTCTAACAGAGATATATATATCGCGCTATACATTGATGTGTATGTGTTTCCCAATATTGTCAGCTTTTATCAAATTTTAATCAATAAACTCACTAGTTGTTGGTACATGATAGGGGCCATTGGAAACTCATGGTGATCATTCCAAAAAAAGCAAAAGTTGTATGGTTTTGTTATCTTCATAGGAAGATGAAAGCGGAGTTGAAGTCCTTGATACAAACGCAAGTATTACATTCATTCTTATCAATTCATTATGATATTAATATATTAACTTATGTTTCTAATGTTTCAAAATTTTTTAGATTTGTGACTAGGACTAGAGGACAACAACTTGAAATTATATATCCTAAGGTTGGAATTCGTTGATCTTTAACCTTTAATTTTCGTGGTCAAATTTAAACCATTACATTTGACTAAGTTCTTTCATATGTTTACTGTAATAAGCATAATGATTCCTGGGCATGTGGCTACTACATCATGTCATGGATGAAGGCAACCATCCGAGCAAATATCAGAGGGGAATGGACTGAGGTAGAAATTTACATTTGAAAATCTTACAAATATCAATAAACTTTTGACATTAAAATGAATATAATAGTAAAGTTTATTTTATTTTGTAGCGGTTCAACACTACCTCTTCATTGTCCCCTCCAGTAATAAAGACGATAAGAGAGGATTGGGCATAATATTTGAATAAACATTTTAAATAGCTATAGCTTTAGGTTTTTCCTTTCATGATAGTAGCATTTGCTTACTTGTGTAACTTTTAAACTGTTAATAGATTATTGTGAATAGATTAATACTGTGAATAGATGAATACTGTGAATAGATGAATATTGTGAATAGATGAATACTGTGAATAGATGAATACTATGAATAGATGAACGGAAAAATGGGTTCTTTTAAGTTTTGATGTTAGCATTAGCGTCTTTTAGTTTTACTATTTAATTGGAATTGATGAATTGATGATAGCATGGTTTAAATTAATTAATTCTATGAATATATATGAATTGGAAAACTGGTTTCTGTATTTTAGGGTTGGTTAAATAAGCTAAACCGAATGAAATGTAAAAAAAAAAATAACACTGACGGTAGAGTCAAAGTATACATTGTTCGACGTTCATACATGATAGTAACGTCAAATATCGACACGTTCAACGTTCATACATGATAGTAACGTTAAATATCGATACGTTCGACGTTAACCTTACGTCCTTCCCCTTATACTTGATGTCAAATATTCCTTTAAATATAAATATTTATTCAAATATTACTCAAAAATTGACGTCCTCTTTGAATTTCGACATGAATATTACATCCATTATCTTCCACAGCAACATCAACTTTACGTTAGTTCTCTCGTACATTAGACGACAAATCTTACTATATAAATATTAATATTTATTCAAATATTGGATGTCATTCTCTTTATTAGTGGACGTAACCTCATGTCATTGTACAAAATCGACGTTAGAATTACGTCAAGTCTCGATCCATTTGACGTCAAATTGTTCGAGTAACGTCGCCCAATAATGTTTGACGTAAACTTTACGTCACTAGATATGACGTCGGACTCGAATTCGTCGTTAAAAGCCAATAATAACCGACCTAATATGCTGTTTTTGTACTAGTGGTGCATTCATATTTACCTTCTTGTTTTTGCATTTAAAAATATAAATTGTTTTTAGAAAGTCTTAATTAGTTAAGAAATCACATGATTGTTTAGTGTCGTGAGTCTCTTGGAAAATGATACTTGGTCTTACCAATTATTATTACTTGATACGATACACTGAGGCCTTAATACACATCCTCGCGCATGCGTCAGCATCCTTACCACATCACCAACGCACCAATTCCTTCTCTCGAGAACGCCTCATCCGTCAAGCAATTCTCTCACAGATCCACCACCTCTCCTTCATAAGCATCAATCTCTTCACAGGTTTACACATTTGTTCGTCTTTCCTTTCATTTAACCGATTGATTCCTCATTTCTCACCACTTTCACTGATTGTTCCATTTTCTACCGATTAAACACCTTTAATCCTTTTGATCTTCATTATTCACCTTTCAATCTTTTTTTTGAACCGATTAATCGCGTTATTTTATGTTTTCCCCTTTTTCTAGGGTTTTTATAAGTCGATCTCACTTCTTGTTTGTTCTCTCTCGGTCTTTGCCCTTCCTTTAGTGTTTAGGGTTTTTGCGAAGATAATTGCACTTCAGTTTCATAGTTTCTCTCTGGATCTTGTGTCAAATCATCATCCTGTTGTGTCTTCTCTCGTTGAGGAAGCCTCGAGGATCTGGATCACGCTCGCACAACTTCAATCGGTCTCATCTCCTCAAGCGCTTCCATCACACTTGCTATATATGACTTCAAAATTTGGAGGGAAGTTAACTTCCTGTTCTTCTAATCTATTATATCAATTTGACCATCATATGACTTAATTTAAGAGATATTTTTTAGTTTATTAATTAATTATTAATTAAATCTTTCCTTAAATTTATTAATTAATTTAGTTTGAAATTATTAGTATCACATAAATTATGTATAAGCACCTTAGCTTAAAAGTGACTCTTTCTTCTTCAATTACATCATCATATATCCTATAAAATTTATATTTTTTTTCTTTCCAGTAGTTGAGATATTAATAGGGTAGTTGAGATATTCATTAAAATTTCGGATGTACATTTAATAAGCCTTAGAAATTGTCTCACTATTATATATACAAAGTCATACAAAATTCTTTGACCGCTGGTGCAATTTCTCTTACTCATAAAGCGAAATCTATTGTGTGTGATAAGAAAAGTCAACATGAATTAGTTCCTTCGATGAAGTCAATGAATCTGTATAGCTATCCATTCACGCGTTTATACACGAATTTTCTGTAATATATAGTCAGATTGTTTTCCAGTACCTCTGCCATTGCATGACTGAATACACCAACCAGATCTTCAGATTATAAATATAATACAAGTACCTGCTAATTGCTCCTCACTCATCACAACCTTGTTTGTCATCCTTCTAATCTCAACAAAACCAACTCAGGTAGGTTCCTTCTTTTTTCTCTAGTCAGTTCTTATCCTTTAAGTATCTACTGCTTTAGCATCAATGAAATTGTCAATATTGGAACTGTATTTTATAGTTGATAAATGCTAATTATAGTCCATCTTTTCTTAAACTGTGTTCGTATAGTGTGCAATACATGATGATATTCTTGTTACATAATTACTCTTTTTTTTTTCATTTTAGCATATTAATAAATAAATTGTTGCATGACAATTTAAAAGTATATTTGCAAAGTTGTTATGTTAAAAAAGGTTAATTACTGACAACTATTTCTAATATTAATTACCACGAACACTCTTTATTTTAAAATAAAATTATTTTAAAACTTAATATTTTAATTAGACATAACAATGTTAAAATAATTAAAATTAGTGAATGTATACAATATTAAAACCCAAAAAAATGTTTACAATATTTTCGAAAGTTCAAAATTTAAAAATGATTTTAATTAATATTAAATTTAGATTATCAAAGCTTATAATTTTGAATTTAACTATTTAGTGTCAAGTAAAATTTTGCATGATTTTTCTAGATGCGGTATGCCAAATCGTTTTTTTTAACATAATAAAAAGTATAACATCCAATCTCTTTGTCATACTGTTTCTTGTCACTTATTTTTGTTATTAAATAAAGTATATGAACAGTCCCTAAAATTATAAAATTCATGTTACGTAATCTTTTAACTATTACAGAAATTTCTTTAGATTAATAGTTCAATGTCAGTAATTATATTAATGTAGAGACCAAACTGAGATATTCACAATTTCTATCAAGGAAAGGAGGTAACATCTAGGAATTAAATTGGTTATCTATCCAATTTATTAATATTGTAGTCAATATATATCAACTTTCACGTTACAGAATTTAACCAAATGGGAGGACGATCGAGAGATTTAGCGGGTGAAATACAGAGTTTAGAGAGAGAATGGACAGAGATGCTTCAAGATGTGAAAGCTCCAGACATGGATGAATTCCACAGGCAATGCATTTATAGGGTACCCCCAAATATTCGTGAATATAATCCCAAAGCCTACACACCTCAAATTGTTTCAATTGGCCCTTATCACAAAGTACGTGACGTTGGAAAAGAAGACAACATTTTTCAGTCAATGGAAACTCTTAAACTGAAGTATCTCAAGGGATTTCTAGATCGAACCAACATGAGAGATTTGGTTGTGAAAATGAAAGAGTTAGAAGAAAGCAACATTCAAAGTTGTTATGCAGAGACTATTGAATCTAATGATGATTTCTTAAAGATGATTTTAGTTGATGCTTGCTTCATAATTGAACTTTTTCTAAGATTGCATAGACACAGTGACTGGAAGGGAAAAGACCGTTTGATGCAAAAACCACGGATGCTAGGCTATATTGACCTTGACTTGCTATTACTGGAAAATCAACTTCCTTTCTGTGTTCTTGAAGAACTTCACAAGCTCACTGGTATGAATGAGAACTTTCTTGACATTACTTTAAAGTATTTTGAAAGCAGACTTTTCGGAAACATGCGTCCAAAAGAGAGTCCAAAACACTTCACTGATTTGTTAGTATCTACTATAATATCATCACCAAAACTTGGTCTTGAAAAACTAGAGCGATGCAAAGAAGTTAAACATGTATACAGTGCAAGCCAACTAATGGAGGCAGGTCTTAAGTTCGAGGTCAATCCTAATACAAGCTTTGTTGATTTGACCTATTCTAAATATGGAGTGTTGAGCATGCCAATCTTGAATATACATGACAATACAGAACTTTTGTTCAGGAATATGATGGCATATGAACATTGTCACCTTTCTACTACAAACATCATTACTCAATATGTAGTGATTCTAGATTTTCTTATCAACACTGAAGAAGATGTGAACATACTTGTTGAAAATAAAATTATTGTCAATTGGACCGGTGATGCTAATAAAGTGGCTACAATGTTTAATAATCTCACCTCACAACTTAGCATCCCAGATTTCAATTCACACTATTTCTCCATCTGCAATAGCTTAAATGAATTCTATGAAAATCCTCGCAACAAGTACAAGGCTATCTTCATACACGAGTACTTCAACACTCCTTGGAAAATAGCATCTACTACGGCTGCAATTATGCTACTTTTGCTAACGTTTATTCAGACGGTATGTTCAATCATCTCACTGTTTCAGGGTAAGAAATTATGATATATTAATACTCAACTACTGTAACATCCCAAAATACAGTAATTACTATATTACAGAATTAATTACAATTAACAGTAAAACCAAGCAGTCTTTATATACTGAAAAGAAGTTCCAGAGCCGAACGGCTTCAGTACAAAAGAAACGCGCATAAAACGCATACAAAGGAAGCCTAGAACGAACGTTCTGAGTTATAAAAATAACGTACACGTCAAAACAGAATCAGGGATAATTAGGACGAACGGCTTTACAAAATATTTAACCGAACGTCCAAACTAATCTAACATTCACATTACTAAACTAACGAGCGCTCTAAGGCTCGGCCTTTACTTCCACTTCAACCAGATTTGCATCTTCCAAATTTTCTTCTTCCAG